AAAAAAAAAAAAAAAAAAAAAAAAAGCCTACCCCGTCAAATCCCGAAAAAAAAGAGTTAGAGAAATAACGGAAAGGAATCAGCCGCGAAATTTATTGGACCACGTCGGAATCCACCTTCAAACGAGACTTGTACAAGGACTGAGAGGCTAGCAAGGCTGACGCTCAGATTCAAGAACGTTTTGCGAGGTAAGGTTCTGAACGACATTTCTTAGATTTGAGCTTTTCTTATGTGAATCGAGTCCTAAAATGCTGAGATATTCACCTAGAAACAACTCTACGAACGATCTGTGAAGAAGTTTGGCCGAGATCTCAACCCGAAGGCGGAGATTCGAGAATCGTTCGAGAACAGTGAGCGAACTTCCGACGCTCTTAACTCGTTCGGTAGTCAAGCAAAAAATTACGAAAAAAATACTAGGACGTAGCCCGTAACACAATCTAGAACTTTGTTGAATGAATCATATCGATCCGAACTACGAATCAAAAGATATGAAAATTAGAAAGGGGATACTGTGTTACCGATTGCAGAGGACAGAGATGAAAAAAAAAGGTCGGTCGGCAAGCGGCAGAGGATGGCAAGACAGGCGCTGGATGACACAATCGCACTTTTGAAGGCAGCGGGCTAGCGATTGTGCGGTACTCACTTTCCAACGACTAGCTAAGCCAATTTGTTCTTGTGTCGCCTATGGCCAAGCGACGTATGATCGAGCCTCTAGCCTCGGTTTTAAAAGAAGGTTTTAGAAAATGAGGGTAGAGAGAGATTTTAGAAAGAGAGATTTTTGAAAAAGACGTTATATAAGCAAGCAAGAGAGAGATAACAACGGCTTAGCATATATAACCTTGGGTAGGGAGAAGTTGACAACTATAACCTTGGGTAGGGAGAAGTTGACAACTAGTCATATCCTACTATAGTACATTCTGAGGCATTTCATGTCTGGCAGTCCTAGACATAGATATTTTTGAGGAGTCATACGCTCTAGAACTACAAAAGTAAAAACACTAGAATGAAAAGACATGACAAGAGTTTGACTTGCCATGAGCAACATGCCCTGGACGAGCATGATCGTGACACCGGACATGCGTCGACCGTCGGTTGGAGCAACGCAGCTCCAACGAGGCGACGACACATGTCGCCTACAAAGCTGGGTCGAACCGCGAATGCGGCCGAGCCGAGCAGAACCAGACCGGTCGACCCGCGATTACGCAAAAGCTGTTGCGTATGGTAGGCGCGCGTGCGGCCTGCGACTGGCGCACTCCCACGCGCGTGGCCCTCGCACTCCCAGCGCACTGTCGGCGCGTGAGCGCGCGTGAAGCGGCCATTTTGGCCCGTTTGCCCAATTTTTGTCCCGGTTCCAGTTCTAATACCGTTTTTACGAATAGGGACCTAATTTAAGGAAATCAGTATTTTTGGACACCTCACGGGCAAAGAAACGCTAGCAAAAAGGCACGCGTCAACCAGGTAAGTCACCACTCGGTATTTAGGAAGAAATACTTGTAGGATTCGCTTGGACTGCATGCATGCTAGTAATTTTGCTTCATATTAGCTCTCCATGTAAAATATTAGTCAGATTAATTGTTATGAGTGTATTGGGTGAATTATCTGAGTGTTGCTTCTATGCTTTCAGCTTCCGCCGTATGTATGCATGCGTTTAATTTATGTTGGAATTGTGTATTCTGCGTTCTGGGTGCTTGATGGATGAATTCGCCCCATTGAGCACGAACTTCGTGTTCTGGGTGCTTGATGGAGGTCATCGCCCTATTGAGTCGGCATGCCTAGTTTGCATGAATTATATATTATGATGTTAGAAGACGGTTGCATGCACACTCTGTTAATTGCTAGGGCTCATTTTTATGATAAGCTTAGGGGATTACTATTAGGAGCTATATGTCGCTCTAGCCAGACTTAACTTTCCCCTAGGAACTTAGCGGATTACCGCGACAACAAGGTACCTCAGGAGTGTTCATAGATTGCTAGTGTGAGAACAATATCTATAGCTTCGTGGGAGGACCAAGGGTCCCTGATTAGTCCTTACTGCTCTTAGCCATTTCGCATGGGAAATGTGTCCCCACGTCGTACAACCTATTAACTGCATGGGAACGGGTTTTGTCACGCCCCCCATAGGGGGACTATATGGGCGTAGGGGTATTCAGCACACCCCTAGGCTAGATACCATGTAGTCCTAGATAGCCATGTAAAGGTAGCATCTCATAGAGAGATACCGACCATATTAGCCTGGCGTAAGGAACCTCTAGGTGTCTAATGAAAGGACGATGAACTGGTGAAACCCAAGGGGCAAACTCCAAGGGACTAAGATTAGAACCAGATGTCTTAGAACCGAATTAGGAGACTGTGGGAACCTGTTAAGTTAGGATGCGAAGAGAGCCTACAAGTAGGTAGCTTACTGAGTATAATTTTTATACTCATCCTTGCTATGTTTTCCTTTTTCACGAGCACGAGACGTCGGACAAGGGCGGGCGTGATGGAGACGGGGATTGTCACAAAGGAATGGGTTGTCCCTGGGTGTCAGTCCGGTCTTTATTTTGTATTTGCGTATTTGCATTCTTTCGAAATTTATTTCCAAACTGTCAAGTGTTTTGTTTGTCGTTCAAAAACTTTATTGAAATTTAAAGATTTTTTTCTATTTCATATTTAAATCACTTTGTGTATTTGTGTCTTGTCATTAGTCACGGTCCGTAGTAAAATATTGGGTCGTGACAAGAATACACTCTTTGAGACTCTAGGTGGTTGACATTTTGGCTGATCTAACATGGATTTGATACGCATAATTAAATTCATAGAGCAAAGTTAAGCTAGCATCAAGGAGTCGTAGTAGTTTCGGTTTAGGCTAACCAAGTAAAGTGGCATTACTATCAGATCAGTCGGAAGACTTGTTTTACGTATGACAACACGTGTCCAGTGACCTTTGCACAGATGATGTGACTATATTATATAATGATGAGACTGTGATATATGATGATGTGATCATGTTATATGATAATGCTATACGATGTTATATGATGTTATACGATGATGTTACATGATGACGTTGTATGATGATGATGATGATGTATGATAACATGACGGTATAAGATTTATGATAATTAGATGACTTAATATGACGTTATTCCATATTAAGACGATATGCATGTATTAAATGTCATGATGTATTATAACGATGATTTTTCTAAAGCACAACATTAGTTAATGTTTAATGATGATGAACGTATGAAGACTAAGACATGCATGTTACTTAGAGTAATATGTAAACGGTATACATGGTTGTGTAATAAAGATGATTTAAAGATGAAAACTATAGGGACTTCATGCATTTTGTGTGTACATATACATCGGATTACTTCCCCATTTATGATGACGAGTACGGATGCGTACATTACGATGATGATGATCATGACTCACATGACCATCAGGGGTCTGCTAACCTTTGGACGTCGTTACGAACAACTAGCTCAACTATGATGGGTTCATGGGGTGTGAATCGCGTAGAGATCCACACTCGCACGTGTTAATCGTGTGTAGGGAAGCAATACACGTCCAATTTTATCCGGACTAGAGGTCACCCCTATGATAGTTTTAATAATATATCTCTAGATCATGAGTTGCATGTGTTTGCATTTCCTGATCTCAAAAGTGGGGACACTGTTTTCAAGTAAAGGCAAGGCACCCTCATACGACTAACGACGACATCGCAAGTAGAGACTATGATACGTATCTAGATAAAAACAAGGACAACATTACAAAAATAATGATAGAGACTTTAATCTTACCCCAATATTAATATTATTATTAAAAAAACTATAGGACAAATATCTTTATGCTTCTTAATTGAAGGTACATATATTGTCGTGTCACATTGAGCTATGCTCGTGTTTGTACCTCAAACTAATAAATATATCAATTTAAATCCTAATTTTTTTAGAAGTTAATCAATTTAAACCATCCGTCAATAATTTATAACTATTTTCACTTGATATAATTGATAAAATTATTTTTCTTTTATAGTCCTATCCAGTAACACGAAAAATTATTCGGTGGCATGTAGATCATCAATCAAAACGTTTCAATGGCACGAAAAATCATTGAAATATCATATGCATTATCGATCAAAGTTAGACATTTTTACCGTTACGTACATATTGTTGAACTAAAAACAATCAAATCGGTGGCATGTGGATGCTTATCCTCATGAACATAAAGATATTCATAGAGATCAACAAATTCCAACCACAAACTTCCAACCAAGGGCTCCACCACCTTTAACTTTCTTACAAGATATTATTATATATTAATAATCATGTATTTGACTGTTCCATCTTTTTGTCCCATGTAATTAAGGAATCGGATCGTGTAACAGTCTAAGTCCACTATCTATTTTAGTTGGTTACGTATTGGTATGAGTCTTACAGTTCTAAAACATGTCTATTAGAGAAAGATTTTTTTATATTATTATTCAAATAAAAACCGATACAATAAACGACAAAGTTAAAGTAATTTTTCTTATCCAAATATATGTTAGATGAGATCTTTTTAGATAAACAATCGAAACTTGGTCCAATCGAGGGACCAATTTAGTCAAGTTGCGTAAAAGAATCGTTTGAAAAAGTAATTTCTTAAGTCAAGCACGTATGTTCATACAATTTCAAAGTATTTGGCAAAAGAAACAAAGAAATATGGGAGTATGACCCGATATATGTTATACAAATCGTTAGTAAGCATATATTATCATTATAAATTGTTTATTAGATAATTAATGATATTTATGGTGCAAGATGTAGTTATAAGGATAAAACAAACTTTTGACCAAAATGTAATTATGAACAACTCATGAAGAATCGACAACTTATCTTAAGTATGTAAGAGAGCAACTCTAAATCTATAGTGGAGTGACTGAAACTTGATTAGTTAATTAATTTTTTATCATTAAATCTAATGGCAATTAGAGTTAGGTCCATTTTAACGATAAAGAGAATGACACAATTAGGATAGGGGCTCGACCACGACGTCAATCAGGCTAACGAGCTAAGTTATATAGAACAAACTATCCACTCAGACACACTTGTTCATAGAAGCTCCAAAATTCTACGCTCAAAAGAAATAGATATTTAATATTTATTTAATTTAATTTAATTTTGATGGAGTACATATTTTAATTCAAAGGATGTAAAGTAAAGCATATTCCGTTACCGTTACAGCCACCGTCGCATTCGACCATAGTGCCTTCGCCACACTTTTCTAAGCACGTGCCTATGTTTTGTCGCTGTGGACCAGCCTGTACAAAACGACAAAGGCTGCTCATTTTGGACTCACTCCACTTCAAATTATTTTCCTATCCTACTTTTATTATATCCACATTTTTCCCTACTCTAATAAATTAGTATTTAATTCCCCCTCTCGAAATTATTTTCCAAAATGCATGAAAAGAAAATATATATATATATATATATATAGATATAGATATGTATGTATGTATGTTACGATGTATTGCAGATATTTGATGAGACATGTATGTTAAGGATGAATGATATGTCATGCATAAGAAAACATGTCTCGTAAAAAGGTTATGTCATGAGAAGTATAGAAGTATGATGTGCATTATAACTGATTTGAAAATACATGATCTCATGCACGTTGTCACGAGCATGGATACTTCTCCAACATGATTTTGTACAAATGCGTACTCATGAATGGATACTTCGTAGTCAGGCTTAGATTGTACATACATGAGATTGTCTAGTGGATTTATGCGGGCATACGTAAACAGTGTGTAAAGAATTATTACACATCCAATTTTACTCGAAAAAGAAAGCAAAGCTTAAAGAATAGTCACAAAAAAAAATTAGTTTCTATTTTAAACAATAATTGCACGCGATTGCATTTTTCATAGAAATTGAGGCAATGAACAAAAATACTTTAAGTTGGCTTGTGGATTTGATTTTGGTCATAAAAGTCAAACAACTAATAAAATTATACTAAAATACAATTGTGTGAATTTATAGAGGATTGTTAGAAATCACGGATCTTCACAATGGTACGATATTGTCCATTTTGAGCATCGACTCTTGTACCAATGGCATCCTATACTATAGAGCCGTGTACACCAATGACATCCTTTGAAGCTTTATTCACTTTTGACTACATGTTCGAGACTCACAACTTCTTTATTCGACATTTGAATGTTTTATTGACATGGTTAAGTTTAGAGCATGACTCTAATACTATGTTAGGAACCACGTATCTCCATGGTATAATATTGTCCACTTCGAGCATAATATTGTTCTTGTGACTAAAAAGACTTCGGGACATGTTTTAGATAATGATGTTTTGCTATTCTTAAACCAAGAGAACATATTCCTAATTTGAGTAGCTTTGAAAACGTTGATTTCCTTGTCCTTTTAGAACATAGTCTTCTTGGTTTATGGATTTGAAAGCTTAGAACTGAATTATGTCTTAATGCTTACACTATTTTAGCTAAAGATTTATTTTATCGATCTAGAATCATGCTTGACAAATGATAGAGTTTAGACTAGAACGTAACTGCAAGGCTAAGAGATTTTTTGACACGATCATGCTATGGCTCGTTTAGAGCCGGTTTCTTATTCAGTTTGTTAAATATTTCATGTTCAGGATTTGAAATCCTTATTCTTTTGTGAGAAAGACACGTTATTTATTCCTTGCTTCTACTTCTAAGAGTGAAAACTATCCATACAAACCAATACAAGTGATTTCAACATATTATGTCCTGACTTACACGTATCGGTATAAAATTTATTAGAAAAGAGGTCACCCAACATAGAATTACTTCAAACAAAACCTGCTTAATTTTGGAACCTGTTCGTTCATGTACTTCTCTTTTATTTGAGTATCGCGTATTTAGATTAAATAACATAAAGTTTATTTTAATTAGTTATTACTTTTAAATATTAAATATAATTTTGAATTTTTGAGAAGGAATAATTTTATTATTATTATTTCTGCATTATTGGGATGCTAATTTATTTTTATTTTGAAGATATGGTTTATGGGACAGCATGGGCAAACGTTGGCGGGTCCATTACCGAAAGAGACACCTCACCAAATTATTGAATTTAAATGATGATGAAAACTTTAGGTAACATTATTTAATATTTAATGAAACTTATTTTTTTTTTCTAGAAGATAAATATTTAATGACCTTATCCATAATTCCTTACTAAAAAAGTAATTTTAAAAATAAATAAAAGATAAGATTTTTTAAGATTTGAATTTAGAAAGAAGGCCCACGTATGATTGGGAAAGGACAATTTAGGGCATTGTTAGATAACTCTCTATCTAGAACTGGAAGGACAAAATGGGAAAACGACACCAAAAATATCTTCCGAGCTCCACTGTTAGCGATATCTCCATTTGACCGTTTGGACTCCGACGTGTCGACTTTTCCTTCCCTACCCCTGTAGGTGACTCTGCAAATTCAAGCTTATAAACCCCACCACCTTCTCCGCCGTTTCATCATCCTCCACTTCCACTCCTTTCACTTGCAACTCTCTCTCTCTCTCTCTCTCTCCGCCGTCTCTTCCTCCGCCGCCATGGATCCCTACAAGGTATTGCTATGTCCCTTTTTTTCGATTTTATTGAACCCGATCGGCAGTGTCTTACGTTGGCTAATTAAAAAAATGAGTTTAGATTTTGTTGATGATTGTTGGACGATGAGTCCTGTAATTAAATGGTTGATCATAAATTTATAAATAATGAAGGTGTCTGGAGAAGCTAAAATTACGAGAGTTTATGTTCATACTATTATGCAGTTGTTGTTTCTATCCCTCTATTCAAGGATAAAAAGTAAAAGTAAAATCACTATAATTTATATTTAAATTTACTCTCTTTAATTGGACAGTACCGCCCTTCAAGTGCCTACAACACGCCCTTTTGCACCACCAACTCCGGTGCACCAATATGGAACAACACCGCCGTCATGTCGGTCGGAGAACGAGGTCCCATTCTTTTGGAAGACTACCAACTCATCGAAAAAATCGCAACCTTCACACGCGAGCGTATCCCGGAGCGTGTCGTCCACGCAAGAGGAGCCAGTGCCAAGGGATTCTTTGAAGTAACCCATGACATTTCCAACCTCACTTGCGCCGACTTCCTTCGCGCCCCCGGAGTCCAAACCCCAGTCATCGTCCGCTTCTCCACCGTCATCCACGAACGCGGTAGCCCTGAGACCCTCCGCGATCCCCGTGGCTTCGCCGTCAAATTCTACACACGAGAAGGCAACTTCGACTTGGTCGGTAATAACTTCCCGGTCTTCTTCGTCCGCGATGCCATGCAATTCCCCGACGTCATCCGCGCGTTCAAACCAAACCCTAAATCCCATCTCCAAGAACCATGGAGATACCTGGATTTCTGTTCTTACCACCCCGAAAGTCTATTGTCGTTTGCTTGGTTTTACGACGACGTCGGCATCCCGATCAACTACCGCCACATGGAGGGCTTCGGCGTGCAAGCTTACTCCTTAATCAACAAATCCGGCAAAGCCCGGCTCGTGAAATTCCATTGGAAACCCACTTGTGGGGTTAAAAGCATGATGGAGGAGGAAGCCATTAGAATTGGTGGGACGAACCACAGCCATGCCACTCAAGATCTATACGAGTCAATAGCCTCCGGGAACTTCCCGGAGTGGAGGCTCTACATTCAAACCATTGATTACGAGGATCAGAATAAGTATGATTTTGAGCCGTTGGATACGACGATCACTTGGCCGGAGGATGTGGTGCCGTTGCAGCCGGTGGGGCGGTTGGTGTTGAACAAGAACATAGATAATTTCTTTGCGGAGAATGAGATGTTGGCGTTCTCCATGTCGTTGGTGCCTGGGATTCATTACTCCGATGATAAGATGTTGCAAGCTAGGAGCTTTGCTTATGCTGATACTCAAAGGCATCGCCTTGGCCCTAATTACCTTCAGCTTCCGGTCAATGCTCCCAAGTGTCCGCATCATAATAACCATCATGAGGGGTTTATGAACTTCATGCATAGAGATGAAGAGGTTCGTTTGTTCGTAATTGTCGCATGTTTTAATTTTATAAAGCTATTTTGTTGATGGGTTTTGTGTAATTTTGGCAGGTGAATTACTTTCCTTCTAGATATGATCCTTGCCGGCATGCTGAGAAGTTTCCGATGCCGCCCAATGTGTTGACCGGAAAAAGAGAAAGGGTCTGTTCGTCCGTCCGATCTTTTTTCTTGTTGTTTAATGTGTTTTGTGTTAATAATTGAATGAGGAGTTAATGGAGAGATTGTTTGTTTGGGAAATTTTCAGTGTGTGATTCCAAAGGAGAATAACAACTTCAAGCAAGCTGGGGATAGATACCGATCATGGGCACCGGACAGGTACTAACTGTTAAGAATCACGACCTTCCATAATATTATAATATTGTCCATTTTGAGTGTAGGCTCTCGTGCCTTTGCTTTTGGTTTTTCCAAAAGGCCTCATGAGGCTTGACCCCTTCTCTGAAGTTCTTGAACAAAATATACTCTTTGTGCGACAGTTGAGTCACTTTTGGGCCTATGAAGTCCTCGAATAGCCTCCCCCTTAATCGAGGCTCGACTTCTTCTCTAGAGCCCTTGAACAAAGTGTACCCTTTATTTAATGTTCGAGGATTCTATTGACATAGATAGATTAAGGGCATGACTCTGATAGCATGTTGAGAATCATAGACTCGCCACAATGGTTTGATATTGTCCACTTTTAACATAAGCTCTCATGGTTTTGCTCTTGGTTTTCCCATAATGCCTCGTACCAATGGAGATGTATTCCTTACTTATAAACTCATAATCATTCCCTAAATTAGTCAACCTGAGATTCCCTCCCAACAATTCTCAACACTAAGAAATTGTTATTGAGAAAAGAAATTAACCATAGCCATGTGGTTCATTTCCAGGCAAGACCGGTTCGTGAAGCGGTTTGTGGAAGCATTGTCGGATCCCCGCGTGACGCATGAAGTTCGCAACATATGGATCTCTTATTGGTCTCAGGTAAGCTGATATGTCCACTTTTAGTATAAGCTCTCATGATTTTAATAATGTTGATATTGATTGAGTGTTAATTTGGACATGGCACAGGCTGATAGGTCTCTGGGCCAAAAGATAGCGTCTCGACTGAACGTGAGGCCGAACATCTAAGAAAAGGAAGCAAGCCCAACACTAGTATTAGTACCCGGGGGTTTCTCTTGCAATGGGTGATGTTAATATGCTAAAGGGCTTTTATCTTACAAAAAGAAAATTAAGAGCTTGAATCTTGATGCTAAAGTAAGGGCTTTTTAATTTTGGTGCTTTGTTGCTCCCTATAAAAAAAAAATGGCCTTTTCGATATCGAACTTATAAACGTATGGAAGCTTAAACTCTATTGTACAGCTTTTGATTCGTTTCGTATAAGTGATAAAAATGTCTTCCAATCGGAATCATATAAATCAGGTTGAAATCGAAAGCAATAAGAATGGAATTGTATTGGACGGTTTAAATTAAAGTTTAGGAGAACCATCTAGCCTTGAAATGCAAGAGAGGCGGTAAGGGAAGTTTAAGAACCTTTTATTTACCGGAAGAAACACTTATAGGAATTGACTAGAAATTGAGCATTATTATAATTAATTTGAGCACAAAATTGACGATCTAGCCTTAGCCTATATGTTCACATTTCCTTAATCTTTGATTCACATTTAGAGTCGGTTATAACTGTGTGGATTGGCGAGTACTATGTAAGAACGATTAGGGCACAACACCTAATTGTGACCTTACCTTGATGCGGGTCTGTGTGGTATATAGGAATGATATGTAACCATAACTAAATATTTATAGCATGCACCCGATAACAAACAAACAATATTACCATAACTAAATGCTTTATTCTCCCAAAAAATAATCAAAATATGTCCTAAAATATTCATATTATATATATATATATATAGAAAAAGTGACCAAGTTAGGTTGATACATACACTATTCAAATCTACAAACTAATGAACCACAGAGAAGGGATAAAAAGCCCAATGGGCCTCCAATAGTTGGGCTTTGAGTGGTGGAGCGAGCCCAAAAGCTAATAATGGGTGGGCGTCCTAGCCCTTGATTTGGGCTCCTTGGGCCTATCTTTAAGGGTACTAACTTTCTCCAGAATCTCCAGCACCTGTTCCATGGAGGGCCGGTTTCTAGGGTTCTGCTCCAAACATTTCAAAATGAGTTCGGCTAAGGCCCAGGCTCCTTTCGGCGAGTAGTCGTCCCCAAGCCTTGGGTCCATTAGCTTCTTTATCTTCTTCTTGTGGGCCAGTGACGGCTCGGCCCACTCCACTAAGTTGTGAGACCGACTGGGCCGGTTTGGGTCCACTGCTCGCAGCCCAGTTAGCAGCTCAAGCAGCACCACACCGAACCCATACACGTCACTCTTTATGTACAAATGTCCTACAAATTTCAAAAGAAAATAATAAAAGAAATCATCATTATTTTATATAATAATTGGGAAAGGGCAGGGAAGGTAAATAGTACCAGTTGCAATGTACTCGGGTGCAGCGTAACCGTAAGTGCCAACTGGATTTGTGCTGACGTGGGTGTCGCCATTAGATGGGCCGAATTTTGCAAGCCCAAAATCAGACAGCTTTGCGTGGAAATCCTGAAAAAGAAAAATTCATTTTCAAAAATGAAAATAAAGTCCCACACGTGTGAACGTATTCTTGAATCTTACCCCATCCAGAAGAATATTCGACGCCTTGAAGTCGCGGTAAATCACGCTCTTCTCCGACGTGTGGAGGAACGTTAAACCACGCGCCGCCCCTGTGGCTATTTTAATCCTCGTTTCCCATGAAAGAGGCTCTACACCTTCTGAAAAAAAAAAAAAAAAAAAAAAAAAAAA